TCTCTCTCTCTCTCTCTCTCTCTCTCTCTCAACCCCCACGCTCTCCACATGCTCTCGCTCTCTCTCTCTCTCTCTCTCTCTCTCTCTCTCTCTCTCTCACACACACACACACACACACACACGCGTATTGTTATGACCATAACTACAGGCACATTAAAGCAGGTTTGATCCTCTGAAGTAACAACACTACATTACACCATGATATACACACTATATACACACCATATATATACTATATATACAGCATATATAGCCTACACCATATATATACTATATATCCACTCTGTAACGTCCACTGTACTACAGTTACGTCACCAGCCTGCTGTAATTAAGAAGCATGAATCATAAAGAACATGATGATGATAAAATGTAATAAAAATCAATAACAGGAGGAAGACTGATGTGAACGAGCTCTTTTTATTTATCATCTAATTGTTGAATTTCAGTGCTCTCATGCGCGTGCATGTGCCCAGTGCAGCATATAAACACTGAGCTCATTCACATCACTGCAAATAAAAAATCCCTCTGTGTCAAGAGTCTTTGTCTCTCTCCTGTCAGAGCCTGTAAAGCTGCACACAAACACACAAACAAACACACAAACAAACATGCCCCCCCCCCCCCCTTATCTCTCCTTACACATGGACTCTTTCCTGGTGGATAGAGGCTCCAGCTCTGTGGAGCTACAGTGTTAATGACATGTGCTGCATCACAATGAAGAGGACAGCGTGTCACCGCCGCAGGTAAAAATAGTCCCTGCTCTGGTTTCGGCTTCAGGTTTTAGTGACCTGAGACTCTGAGACTCCTGCTTCATTATTGAACAGATTATAGACGCAGATGATCAGTCAGTTAACTGATCAATACACCGAAGCAACGCCTGATGGTTTTACTATGAGATTCCATAATTAGGATTCATGTTAATGATTAAACACGGACATCAACACGCGACTGATTCTTCCACATTAGAGCTACTCCTCTGTGAGCGGGAATATTTCAGCTGATCACAACAACATGAATAACTGTCAGTGAACCGTCATCATCATCATCACCATCATCATCACATGTGGAAACAATAGATCTTGTAACTTGTGTGTGAATATTCAAGGAACCTCAGTCCATTAACCTTCACACACACACACACACACACACACACACACACACACACACACAGGTTCATCAGCTCTGCGGGTTTCACATGGGGAAGCTGAAGCTGCACGAGCATCATGACAAACTACAAGTTAAAGTGACGGTGACGGAACAGGAAGAAGAAACAGGCTGATGTCACAAACTGAAAAATATAAAGATTCAGAGAAGAGACCGACCTGCTCACGAGCGTCTGCAGCGAAGTTTCAGCTTCTTCCCGGACTCTCCCTCCTCTCTCTCTCTGTATGTCTCTCTCCCTCCTCTCTCTCTCTCTGTATGTCTCTCTCCCTCCTCTCTCTCTCTCTCTCTCTGTATGTCTCTCTCCCTCCTCTCTCTCTCTCTCTCTGTATGTCTCTCTCCCTCCTCTCTCTCTCTCTCTCTGATGCTCTGCTGTCGCCTCCCGCCAACAGAAGAATGCAGTGAGCGACGTTTGAAGAGAAACTAAATGAGTATTCACACACACATCCCTCTCTCTCTCCCTCTCTCTCTCTCTCTCTCTCTCTCACACACACATTACAGTTTCCCCCAGAGGCGGGAACACAGCTCCTCTCTCTGCCCCTCTGTTGAGCCACATTTACTGTAACAGAAAAATAAACTTCCTGTTAGACTTAAAGCAGCATTAATTAGCCACTTGGGGGCAGCAGAGCAAACTGCAGACACAACACATTAACATTAAACCAGCTGTTTGAAAGTGTAGCTAACATTAGCATTAGCAGAAATTAGCGTTAGAGGAAACTTTTTTCTTTACTCACCAACATCTGTCTCCAGAGGTGGAGACAAACAGAGCTCAAAGCAAGGAAAATGTCTGTGTCTGAAAATATAATAGTCCAATATAAATAAGGTCCAAAAGATTGATGATGATATGAAAACAAAATTATTATTGATAAAGTAGGTCTACTGGATTCTTACAAGTTTAAGTTTAAAAGTAAAAAAAAAATACAAAAGAAAATAAGAAAGAGAAAAGAATATTTTCCATGTAAACACTAATGTTAAATCTTGTTTCTATCACGTCTTCCCTTCTCCTGAAGTTAGCATGCTAACAGCTAGCCCCGGCCCGTCTGGTCACTGTAACGTCCAGTCTGAGGACGTAGCTGCTTCGAGGACTTGTTATAACATCTTGTCTTATATAGACAAAGATGGCTGAAGCTCTTGTCTGGAGACAATCAGCTCCACCTGCTGCTGACAAGAAACCAGGTTCAGCAGCAGAGAAAACTAACAGGAAGCTCCCTTTAAACAAAGAACTGAACTTGGACATTTACAAATGTTTTATGATGAAGGAAATGCATCTGCAGGTTTGTCAGAATTCAGACACACAGTGGTGATTAACAAGGAATGTAAACAGAAAATAAAGAGAGAGCTCCACAAGGCACAGTTGACTTAACGTGGTGAACTTGTGGACAGTTGTCTATTTACACATAAATCCAATATTTACCTTCCTTTAGGTTCTGTTTCATTCTCCACCAACGCTGGAAAGAAATGACTATCAATGATAAATATTCCCCTGCAAGGTAACACCTCTACTCTACTCTTCTCACATTTCCTGGTTTTCTAACCGTTGTGGACTGTACTCAGTACCTGGTTCGTTCTTGACTGGCCCTATAGTCGCTAGTGTCCCTGACTGACTGATGATGGTTCCACTACTGGTCAGCCTCAGTCTACCGATCCACTGTGGTTTCCCAGCTGCTCGTGAACTGCAAGGAAGAGGAGGAGCACTTCCAATACACTGAGCCACACCTCCACTGCAGCAGATAAACTCCTTTGATTCCATGTGTCATTATTATTAACATAAACATAAGACACACCCAGCAGAGGAAGGGAGAAAGAGAAGTTATCTGTAACGAGGCTTCGTACTATCGACTATTATCAACTCTACATATCAAACAGAGGGAGTGAGACATAAGGACCTGCCTCTGATAAAAGTCTGTGATGTTCCGGAGTAGAAGTAAATACAGACTAAACTATTGTGGATCCAGACGGAGGCTGTGCTCTGTGTGAGACGCTGTCTCTTCTAACTGTCTCTCTGAGTGATTATTGTTCAGTAAATACAGCTGAAATCACAGCTCAGGCTTTGTCTTTATGTGTTTGCTGATTTTGCCAGACAACATCAAGGTTATAAAATCAGGATTTGACCAGAGGTCCAGACAGACACTAGATTTGGACAAATTTGTTTTTTTTGTATCACCTCTGCCGAGCTTGCAAGCAACGTGACATGAAAACAGGAAATCATCAGCAGAGGTCATCCTGAGCGTTAGAAACACAGCTTCATGTGCGTAGTCTCTCGTCTCTGAGAGAAATATGACTCTAGTTTTTGGATTAATGGACGACAGGAGGATGATTCTGTACCAAAATACATAAACTGAGTTTTAATGAGAGCCATTACTGGAAAAGCAAAGTCTTTTGTTATGTGTATATATGATTCAGAGTTCCTGCTCCGACTAACAGTGACTCATTAATACCTGTTTTTAGTCAACAGAGGATTGTTGTGGTGGAAAATGAATCTCTTCCCACCTCTGAACACTCACAGGCGTGGCCACAAATCGCTTCATTAGAAATGAGACAAAGAGAAATCATATTTTCATATGTGGAACTTAAACTGGAGAAATGTGTCTGATTGTTTTTGTGTGAACTCAGCGTTTAATGAATTTAAACCTGAAGACTGAACCTCTTCAAGCTCAGTTGTCCTGTTGATAAATGGAATGAAGGTGACGACTGAGCTTCATTCAGTTAAACACGCCTGACAGGTTTAATTACCTCTTCTATGACTCAGGGTTAAAACATGAGTGTTATATAATGAGGAAACTTCCTGTTACATTTCTGAGCTTTAATTACTTTAATGAGCATCTTCCACACCTGGCAGAACTAAGAATATCTCAGCTCCATATGTGACTCGTCTGGAGATGAAGAATCAAGCGGTCCAAGTGAGATGAGATCCATATTTGATCTTTTGGAAAGTTCCTGTCGTTTCAACACTAAATCGAAACGTCTTCTGCGGAAAATGCTTCACATCAAAAGTGTCTGTCTGGAGAGGAAATGAGAAAAGGGGCTGAGCAAAATAATATTTTTATTTTCATGTAAGTACATGTTTATTGCCATATTTTTGATTTTAAATTTCATAAATAAACCATTAATACACATATGCAGTTGGTGTTTGTGATTAAATGTAAAAAAAACTTGTCATGCAAAGATGGACAAAAAGAAGAATATTAATATGTATTAATAGGCTTCAACACCAAGTTGTGTGTGTGTGTGTGTGTGTGTGTGTGTGTGTGTGTGTGTGTGTGTGTGTGTGGTTACTGTCTGATTGTGTTTGTTTTATAACTTTGCACCACAGACTGTAAATAAAGATGAACGTAGCCTCTGTGATGTCACTCATAGAGCGGCTTTGAGACCAGAGCTCTAGACACCAAAACAGTTTCTGTACCAGGCTGTAAACATGTTGATTTCTGCTGTAAAGTTGGACATTTTAACATGGGAGTCTATGGGGACTGACTCACTGTTGGAGCCAGACTCTAGTGGTCGTTAGAGGAACTGCAGGTGTGGGCAGTGAAGCCTGTCATTTATTCATTTATTTGCATTCTGTTGCTTTGTCTTTTTTCCACTGTCTTGTGTTACTTGCACTAGTGTGTGTGTGTGTGTGTGTGTGTGTGTGTGTGTGTGTGTGTGTGTGTGTGTGTGTGTGTGTGTGTGTGTCAGACAGGAGTCCCAGTTATCTGAAGCTCAGAGGATAAAGTCTCACACAGAGAGTCTGTCCTCCATCTTTCCTCTCAGGACTCAGAAATGTGTCGCTGTGATTCCCTGTGAAACAGAAGGACAGGAGAGATCAGGACAAATAATAACCAGAGAAGAAGAAGAAGAAGAAGAAGAAGGACACCAGGTGGGACAGAGACAGAGGGAAAAATAGCAGCCCATCATTATCAGACTATGTTCCACATTTTGATTTTCCCTTCTCAGTAGAGGTTCATGAGGAAGCAGCAAGCATCTCAGAACACAGTGTTCCTACTTCACTCATATGGTCCTCTACAGTTTATTATCCTGCTACACTGAAATGATTCTACAACTCTGTCTTTCACTCGTGTCAATAAAGTTAAACTGAATTAAAGGTTTAAAATGAAATTAAATAGAAACACTGCAGCTCAGATGGGTTTCATGTCAGGGTGTATCAGGTTCTCTGTCCTGTTCAAGCATTTCCATGTGAAACATACTGTGTGTGTGTGTGTGTGTGTGTGTGTGTGTGTGTGTGTGTGTGTGTGTTCCTATGAAAAAGCTCCTATAAACTGTATCTGATGGACCAGGGCCACGTCTTTGTTCTCTGTTAGATTTCTCCTGTGGGAGCAGAGACACAGTCACGCAGCAACTAAACACTAAAACAGATCAGACACACAAATATAGGTGTATGAATTAACACACACACGCACACACACGCACACACACGCACACACACGCACACACATACACACACACACACACACACACACACACACACACACACACACACACACACACACACACACACACACACACACACACACACACACACACACACACACACACAGATGGTGTCTGTCGGGACGAGCTCCATCTCTGATGCTGCTCAGGTCTTTATGTTTAGCTGTGTTCGCATCAAAATGCATTAAAATGAATTAAAGGATTATGTCACTTTATATTTTCCTGTCATGCTGTGCAGTCCAGGTCCGGCTGCAGATGAAGGATCAACATTTAATTATCGTCCACTGTGATGAGCATGAAACACACACTGAACTCCGTTATTGTCACAGTCTAATTAGAAACATGATGTCCACTTTTTAAACTACTTTATTAAACCAATTCACAGTATTACACAGTCTGAATCCACTGAATCTTTTCATCAGCAGGCTGGTGAACGAACAGCAAACATGAAGTGAGTTTACGCTGGTGAACAGGAAACAGCTAAAGAAACAGGAAACGCCTAAAATCTGACTTCGACTTCCCCCGTCTACTCAGCCACGAGTTAAAGCATTCCACCCTTAAACAATATGAAAAACTCACTCTCTCTCAGGCTGAGCTGTGTGTGTGTGTGTGTGTGTGTGTGTGCATCACCTTGTCTTGGCTCTGTGTCATTGCAGACTGACAGTGCAGAACAGCATCATGGATGGTGTAGAAGAGACAGGACTTGGTCACTTTGTCAGTGAAGAAGCCTCCAGTCTGCAGGTTGTCCACCACCCCAGCTACAGACAGAGAGAGAGTGATGTGATAACCAGGCAGAGCTGAGTATGAAACATCGTGGGAAGATGGAGACAATGAGCGTGTCAGTGCGAGAGGACAAGAGATGGTATGAAGAGAAGAAACAGAGACATGGAGGAGGATGAAGTTTCACATTTACAGGAGAAATAAAATGAACCAGAAGTAAATAAGGAAAGGGGAAGGGAGGGGTCGTTGCTGTGTTGACTGAACCTCGTTATAATTCCTGGCTATATAAATATTCTATGCGGTTCCTTTACGAGCCCAAACACTCATGATAAACAATTTTCCTCATTACAGGCCATTGAAGGCAATCCAGTACGGGTTTATTCTGGCTGCTAATCGTGGTCGTAAGATTTTTTCCCTGAGGAGAAACATTTTTTCCCGACCCACCGAGTCAGACCTCAAGTTGTGGCCTGTTATATAAAAATAAACACAGATGCTTTATTAAAATAAGTAATAGTAAAAACAACCACCCAACAGACTATAAGTATTTTTGTTTTTAGCTTTCCTGAGGATTCGTTCTAATCTTCTGACGACCCACTGATGAAGATCATGCCAGACTCAGAAAGCCTGGAAGAGTGTTTTGTAGGAAACCAGCTGAACGAGCTCCATCACAGAGCGTTACAATAATATCACAACCAGTAGAAATAACATCCAGTGCTGCTGAAAGAATTCAGATTGTGTGTGTCTGAGCGCACGGAGAACTCCACTGTAAAAATACATCCACACACAAAAAACTGAAAACCCTGGTGGGATTTTGTAGGACGTCAGATCATTAAACTTTCAGTGTCTTTAATGATAGAGCTTTAAACTCTAAGACACTCAGCTCATACACATAAGACACTTCATTTCACACGGACACACACAGAAGGAAGACGTAAAGTCATACTGACAGTAAAGTGACGTTTAGGTTGATGTTGGTCTCCAGCAGATAGAAACATTAGTGCTGAGAGCAGAGGTCGGTCCTGTGTTTCTGATTATTACTGAGTCACAGTCTGACCTTCCAGTCCACACAGCTGCTTTTTCTATTCAATCTGTTAATTTATTCTAGTGACGTGGATGGACTCACTCTGACAGCCAGCGAGCAGCACCTCTACACCGGTCTCCCCATAGTCCCTCCGGATCTGAAACAGACGCACAAGAGCAGAGCAAAGGTCAGACTGGATCATTTAGTTAGTCTGACAATTCAATTGAAAGTAAGTGAAAGCCTGAGGAGCTAAATGATGAGGGGAGGGACAGAGGGATGAATGGAGGAGCAGAGAAAAGCTTAAACAGGAAGAAGTTTATACACTAAAGATTTAATGAATCTTGTGTCGGTTCACTTTCTAACGTTGGGATGAATTTCATTCAACTGTCTCTTTGTTCCACACATTTCTTTAAAAGGTGTTTTAGATTAAGGATCTGAAGTTCCTTATTGTAACTTGTTCACATATATATATATATATATATTCTTAAGACTGTGACCATAAAGCTATAAAACTTTAATTAACTTAAATTTAATTAACGGTATGCCTGATGATTAAATTATTAAATTAAGGGGGATGTTCGTACGTTTCGTAGCGTCTTGACTCCCACAGTGTCCAGGAAGTTGACGGGGCTGAGGTCGAGGATGATGGCTCTTGGGAGGGAGGGGTTAGACTCAGCATCCATCTCAATGACGGCAATGTCCTCCTGCTCCACCCTCTCTGGCTCCTCCTTTTGGACAGGAGGAGACATGACACCTCACATGAGCGCTTCAGACAATGAATCAAGAGTTGTCAGGTCCAGGAAGTCAAAGCTCAGCAGGTTCTCAGTGAGTTAGACAAAGAGAGGAACAACCTTCTCATGTAAAAGAAATAAAAACATCCTTTTGCATCCATTACCCATCATGCATCTGGTCTAACTCACCGTATCTCCTGCGTTCTTCTTGGCTTTCTTGGCGTTTTTCTTCTCATGCCTCTTTCTTTTGGCCTCGAGCTTCTTCTTTGCTGACAGGATCTTGGTGATGTCAACACCACACTGTAAACACATCAGACCGTTTCACATTCCTTTTCCACACAGAGTCAAACCTTAATATTTCATCTCTTAACTTTCCTGTGTTGACGTCTATTTTCAAACCAAACTGAGCAACATTAAAATGTAATAAATCTATTGTTGTGAATGACGTGAAGATGTGAATGAGTGACAGGTTGTTACAGTTTACAGCTCTGACTGTTAACACCTGTCTGTTAGGAGTTATTATGGGTCAGCATAGTGAGATGAAGCTCAGCACCCTCATGATTATCCAGTTCAACCAGTTCAGTCACACCATCTCAACTTCCCCATCACAAAATAAACATGAACCAACAGGGCAGGTGTGGCAGGTAACAGCCTGAGGAAGTGATGTCATGCGTGTTCAGGAGGCTTGGTGCTTTGGTTTGAGGGTTCTGCTGTAAAGTCAACATGAAATGTTTGAAATTAAATATCAAGGTGTGTTTTCCTACAACACGAACTAACATGACGAAGTGACAGAAACGATCTGATTACAGCCATTCAAGCCGTCCTCCTTCTCCTGAACCAAACCTGACAGAGATCGGCAGATCTTAACTCATGAAGACCATGTGATAATATGATGCGAGCGTTCAGGACAAAACTGTGGATGAAAAACTTCTCGTTCTGCATGACATCACCAGCTGATGCAATCTCGCCTCTCCCTCCACAAGCACAACCCATCAGCTGAGTCACTCTGTGATTCATTATCATGTTGTTTTCACCACTGGTGGTCCAGGCTGATGAGAGCCAATCAGGAGAGACCACGGTTGTGACCTCATCGTTTACAAAGGTGTCAGTTTCTGTCCAGACTACAACACAAGCCCAGAGTTTCCAAAAGTCTCAGTTTTCAGGGCTTGAAAACTCTGGAGTCGAGCGGATGGGGGGAGGAAACGCAGGAAAAAAGGTGTGTTTTAAAATGAAAGCGTAGCAGTGTGGACGGAGCCTCTGTCCCGTGGCAGTTTCTCACTCGGTAAATAAACCTGCAGCCTCTGCCCGCTCTGTGAAAGCTTCGTGCATCAAACATGAGGAAGAAAAGATCGACCCTGTGGCTTTGACATGCTGACATTTTAATGAATGAGGTGTTCCTTTATCTCCCTCTGCTTCTCCCCCTCTCTCCCATCTTTTGTCATCTTTTCTCCGTCTTCCCTCAATCTGTCTTCCCTTTTACCCCAAAGAGACGTGACAGAGGAGGAGGAGGGAGACGGGGGAGGAAGGAAGGAGGGAGGGAGGAGGGTGTTCAAACAAAGGTTGAACAGAAGAGAGGAGGAGAAAATGGTGGGATGACATCTGAACAATATCTGTCACAATGGTAACGAGTGAATGGTGGAAAAGTCGGGTCAGTTATTAGTGTCAGAAATAATGTTTGTCAGAGAGGAAACTGTGACAAGAGGAATGTTGGTCTTTTCATTTTGTGTGTGTGTGTGTGTGTGTGTGTGTGTGTGTGTGTGTCCTCACCTTCTCACCCAGAGCGTCTTGGTACATCTCAGCGTTGGCGAAGTAGAGGGTGGCAGAGGAACGGAAGATCAAAATCCCTGGAAGCTTTTTCACCTAAAATCAATCAGTCGGTTAATCAATAAAACATCTGTTCCCATAGCAACAGGTGTTCATGACAACACAGCAGGTCCGATCAGCTGAGAGGAAAGTAGCACTGGAGCAAACATGACGCTGCGTTGAAGGTTAATAATTGCACTGGGGAGGAATTAACTCTGTATTGATTTACTAATTGTTCAGTGATTCCTTTAAATGCAATAATGTTTGGCAGGTCTTCCCTCTCATTGACAGGTGTGATATTTAACACAAAGACACTCCCCATCTCTGCTGATCAACACATACAGTGAAGACTGTCTGTCAATAATCAGCTGATTTTACTTGGACGACTTGTTTGTTAAAACATGTGAAAGTCACAGCTGCAGTTGTTTCTTCTGTAGGAATCTACAGCATCAGTGACAGAGATTAAAACTTCAGCAGGATTCAGACTCTACAGTGGAGAAGAAGAGAAGAGCTGCAGCTTTTTCTGATCATATCAATGTGTATTTGAGAAGTGAGGACGAGTGTTGGTGACAGAGTGGAACATCACTCCCATCAACATATCTATATTTGACTCTTGGCCTTAATGTCAGGGACAAAAGAGGGTGAGCTGTGCTTTGTAACTTTAAACAGTGACTGATGTAATTCCCTTTTAATTTATCACTTAAATATAAATATACTCTGGAGTGTGGACATCATGTCCTTGCTCCTGCTTCGAGCTGATTTAAATACAGTGCTGTACCTGACTGTAGTCCTCCAGTGGCCTGTAGATGTCAGTGTCTGGGACCTGTCCTAACAGGGAGTATTTAGGTCTGGAAACACACACAACAAACACCTGTCATTTGTTTTCCTGTGATTCCTGATACTTGTGTTGAGGTGCGGTCTGAAAGTGGAGGGGTGTGCTGATTGACAGCTCGCCCGTGGTAACGTATTCCTACAGCTGTGTCCTGAAGATGACGGTGAGCATGGAGAACGCGATGGCTGCGGCGAGGCCCAGGTCAGGGTTCAACAGCAGGGTGAGGATGAAGGTGGCCATCCAGATTACCTGAAGAGAAACAGAGAGTGAAGTGTGATGTGGTAAAACAACACAGACTGTTTCATTCTGTGGAGCCACAATCAAACTTTGTATTAATAATAAGATCAGTACAAGCAACAACAAGCTGCAGTAAGTCAAATAAATAAGAATAAAACAAGTGAAAATAGATTTTAAAAAAACACATTATGTCGCAGTTTCTATATGAAATAAATAATATAAATACATAAATGACTGAATTAAACTGTCGGCGTGGAGAAGCCTGACAGCAGGAGGAATGAAGGAGCAGCGGTTTGTTCTCACACTGTGACGCCGACCTGACGCCATGACAGTAAATGTATCGGCCACATGATCTCATGCTGCGCTCACACCACCACAACAACAACAACAACAACAACATGAAAGAACAGGAAACCTCCCAGATAACATCAGGCTTTTGTCTTCCACGGAAAAGGGAACAATCAGCATTCACATCTGGGTCACATGACTCTGCAGTAGTCTCAGGTATTTATCAGCTGATCAGCAGTGATGTGAACACAAAACCATTTCCTGCTGGGATGTCTTTCAGAGACACTGTACACACACCTGTCACCTGTCCAGGTGCAGTCAGAACAGAAACAGCTTCCTCTGAGAGCGAAGCTGCAGAAAAGGAGTCGGCCATGTTTAAAAAGCCTGTTTACACCTGATGATGTTGGTGGAAAGACGTTAACCCTTTGCCACTCACCATGTCTATTCTGTTGCTCCTCCACAGGGCAGGGATGTCCAAGAACTGCTTCATCATGCCGTGGAGGTTGACAAAGATGATGGCAGCCAGCACTGCCTGCACAGTCAGAGACAAAGCAGGTCACAGGTTTGATTCCTGAAACGTGACGGTACGTTTGTTTGTCATGTGGTTTTTGGAAGCTCTGTGTGTCCTGGTTTAGAGTCTGAAGAACGCTGCTCCTCTCAGCTCAGTCACTTTAGATTCATTCACTGTCTCTGGGGCTTTAACTATTTGTTTTTAAAAGCAGCAGATATCTGAGTCTGAAGACACAAACACAAACAACACAAACACACAAACACAAACACACAAACACACAAACTCAAACACACAAACACACAAACAACACAAACACACAAACACACAAACTCAAACACACAAACACACAAACACAAACACACAAACACAGACACAAACACACAAACACACAAACAACACAAACACAAACACACAAACACACAAACACACAAACACACAAACACACAAACTCAAACACACAAACACACAAACACAAACACAGACACAAACACACAAGCACACAAACACACAAACACAAACCTAAACACAAACAACACAAACACAAACAACACAAACCTAAACACAAACACACAAACACAAACACAAACAACACAAACACACAAACACAAACAACACAAACACACAAACACAAACATACAAACACGCAAACACAAAAACACACAAACACAAACCTAAACACAAACACAAACACACAAACAACACAAGCAACACAAACACAAACCTAAACACAAACACACAAACACAAACACACAAACACAAACACACAAACACACAAACACAAACAACACTGTCGTCTCCTTTTCACTTCAGCTGAGTGTTAAGAACTTTAATCTTACAGTCACATTCACTCAGGACACGCTTGGACACATATGCGTGCTTATGCTAGTGCACAGATGTGAGCACACACACACACACACACACACACACACACACACACACACACACACACATACCTTGGGCAGCTCTTCAAAGAGAGCCCCGATCCAGAGCACGATGAAGAGGATAACTACAGCTGATAGA